TCTCGGAGCTCTCCACTCTTCCCTTAAAGCGATCTTGGAAACCATCTCCATAGGTATCTGCAAGGCTCTCGTAAATCCATTCCAGAGAGCCCTGTGGGGCCTGACGGTACCAGTACAGGATGTAGTTGCTCATATCATCTCCCTTCATGCTGCACTCAAATCTGAATTCATCTCCCTCTCGCACGATCACTTCCCTGGGCTGCTGCTCCAAGGCCACCTGGCCAGTGACTGCTGCAGAGAGCAAGAACGAGCCACAGTCACTGCAAGATCCAGCAAAGGTCAGGGCAATGCTGGTGGGGCTTTGGAGTGGCACGTGGCATGTGGTAGGACAAAATCCTCCTCTTGGAAGCCAGCTGACACAAATGGGCAGAGCTGGTGGCAGCTAGCAAGGCTCACAAGGAAGGAGACACCACATTTCCCTCCTTCCTTTTCCCAGTCACACAGGAAGCATTTTCACATTTTCCCCAAAGAAGCCAGAAGAATATACACCATGGGGCATTAAATCCCTTTGTCCTTGCCAAGACAGGATGGTGAGGCACCCACTGTCCTGTCCCTGAAGCTGCTGTGGGTGAGCAGAGCAAAGCCAAAGGGCTGTCGCAGGCAGTGGGGCTGTGCCCTGTGCTGCCATGGCCCAGCTGCTCTGTGCCAGAGGGGCCGCAGTGCCCCAGGAGCAGTGTCCAGTGCCAGGGCCAAGTGCTGGGCCCCGAGATCTGAGTGCAGCAGGGAGGTGCCCTGCGTGTGCCCAGGCTGCAGAGCAGGCAGCTGGCACGGAGGTGCCCAGCTCAGAGGCACCAGAGGAGCAGGGCTGCTCTCCCCGTGCTCCACAGGCATGGCTGGGCAGCTGGAGCCGGGGCACAGCTGCGGCTGCAAGCGCTCAGCACGGCTGCCCAGAGCCCTGCAGAGCCCAGGCCCACGCTCAGCTCCTGGGGCCAGCAGCCCTTGCCTGCACTTACCTACAATGGGCAAGAAGCCCACGCACAGGGCACTCCACATGGCCAGGCCCGCTCTCAGTGGCCTCTCTGCAGCTTCTCTGCGCCTGCACAACAGCTCTGCCCACACCTGCCCTGCCTGGGCCTCTGCCACTGCTCTCAGGCCCAGGCCCTGCTGGTCCCTCCCTCTGCCTGTGACAGCACTCAGGGGGAGAGGTGGGGCACCAGGAGCACAGCTTGAAGCTCCTGCTGCCCTCCTGGCTGTCTCTCACCCTGCCTGGTCCCCATCTTTCTGTGAAGCCCTCTCCATACTCACACTTTGTGTGATCCTGGGAAAGAGCCTCAGGCTTGATTTGTGGCTCAGTGGGAACTCTAAATTGGGAAATTCCATTCCTAAACCCCAACAGCCTCCCTTGGCATCCAGTGTGGGGCATGAAGGGTTGAGATAAGAACAGATCTGCCCCGAGTGGGCTGCAGACCAATCTGATCTCAGCATTAGTTGTATCAGGTATGGAGCCACTGGTGCCAATGCTGCTGGGGCTGTTCCTGTGGCTGTGGGACCTAACCCTGTGGATGTTCCCATATGAGCTCCCCATGATGATATTGTGCAGGGCTGTGGGCACTGAGAAGGGGATTGGTAAGGGGCGAGAAACTCTCAGCCTGTCAAAAGTTAGAGAAAGATACTGTCCCATGGAAGATCTAGTAGAGCTCCCAGGCAGGTGGAACCCCATGGCCAGAGACTCTGTCATCAAAATAAAACTGTGTGTGAGCAGTGCTGTTAGAGGTGCCAATGTAATCTAGGCTGGCGTGTCTCTACTCTGTCTCCTTGCAGGTTATGTTTCAATACAGGTCACAAGAGAGGAATTTCCCTGATTGTCAGAGGCTTTGGCATAGACAGGAATCAACTAAGGCCCTCACCTATCAGAAATCCCAGAATTGACATCTATTTTCAAAGCTGTCCTTGGAAAGACAGACATTCCCAGGAGCTTTGCACTGCCCAGTCCTGAATGGTTTTGCAGGGGGAAGATCAGGTTCCTATTACTTCAGTTCAGACCATATCTGCTGACTGAAATATAAGGCAAAGAGAGAAAGAGAAATTGCCTTACAGTCAGGTAATTAACCATACTCTTTTTGAGTTTCTGTTTGTGTTAGATCTAATTTTGTCAGGAAGTTCATAGGATTTTTGGGCACAAAATAGATAGGTCAGATTGTGCCTAGCAGATGCAGGAATATGATTATTTCATTGCATTTTTAATGTGGTATAAGAAAACTGGAGGGCTCAGTGGTACAAATAGATGTTTAGTGTTGCTCATTCTCAAGGTCTTCTTCTCTGTGTTTTCCCACATAACCTCTTTGTTAAAGCTTTATTCATTCAGGATGCTTTTAATGTTGTCTGCCACTGGAGTGAGCTCTCGCCATTATGACTTGATCAGCAGGACAAATATCAACTACCACACTGCATGTTTTAGAATCAAGGCATTACTTTATTCTGGCTAGGAGGTGCAACCTAAATAATTTCATCCACACATTGCATGAGTTGTGCAGAGAAAATCCTTCCATCCCACAGTGTTTTCAGTAGAGTTTTCTTGTACTTCTACAGTCAATTCCTAGGGAAATAATTGGTTCAAAGACCATTGGTCCCAAGTTCCACACTTTGTAGTGTTTGGTTTTTTATTGATCACTACATGTTTGATGTTTTTTTGGTTCTCAGTCTTGGTTCTCTCATCGATCTTTTCCCAGACCAGGTGTCTCTGACCATGCCAGGGTTGGTATTTGGAGCTGATGTTCATTAATGCTCATTATCTTTTGTGTATCTCCTGTGCAGCTCCCAGTCTGCTGGGATGTTTTTAAATGTCTGCTGAATTTTCTTTTATATATACTTTTAGTCAGGGGTTTTGTTCACCTTTGCCCAGGGGAAAAGGTGTAGTGAGAGTCCTATGTATTGGGTAAGTGGGTCCTAGCTATTCTAAAAGAGCCACAGCCGCTGCCCAACTAAGGACTTCGCAGCTGTGACTCATTTAGAATAGCTAGCACCCACCTATCCAATACATAGGACTCTCACTATATTTCCCCATTTTTCTATTATTCAAATACAATATAGATGTTCAAGTACAATATATGCATTGTTCAAGTACAATATATGCATTTCCTTACAATACATGTTTTATCCCAAGATTCAATGGCCTCGTACACCACACAAGTACAATATACACATTCCCCCATGACTCAAAGGTCATGTACAACACACACAGCTTCTTGCTCAAAGGCCATTTCTCGCAGCTCCTGGCTGCCACAGCTCCTTGATTCAATAGCTATGTTCTTCTGCTTAAATTCCACAGCTCTCAGGCGGCTACACCTATCTTCAACAGCTCTTCAGGCTGCTACAGCTCTAAGGCTGCATACCTCCATCATGTCAGGGTCATCAATTGTTGTTATCTTATTGTATTTCATATTTCCAGAGTCCCATACTGCAGTTATTATAGTCTTAAAGTCCATACCTACTAGCTGTTTTTCTACCACACAGCACTTCTCTGCAGCACAGCTCCTCATGGCTTCACAGGGACTCCTGCAGGGCTCTCAGCCCACCCGTTTTATCCCAGTTATCTTTACGAGCCACAGCTGCTGCCCAACTAAGAACTTCGCAGCTGTGACTCATTTAGAATAGCTAGGACCCACTTATCCAATACATAGGACTCTCACTACAAAAAGGAGCTGAAGTTTCTTTTCAAAGGACTTTTCAGCACTCCAGGCTTGAGGGTGTGACCTGAGCAAGCTCAGTGCAGCAGCCCTTGCTGTGGCCTGTGCAGAGGCTCTCTCGAGGGCTGCAGGAGCTCAGGCAGGGGCAGCAAAGCCTTCTCTCCCCTTCAGGATGTGGTTACCTTGTGTTTTCAAAAGCAGGGGAGGGTTAATGCTGCCTGGTGTGACTGAGTCAGAAATGGTGACCACAGCATCCTGCCTGTAGCCTGTGAGAGGGGCATGAGCTGGGGAAGGTGTGGGCTGGGCTCTGTTAGGCAAGAGCCAAGTTGCTATGGAAACTATCACTCCATCAAACCACCCCAAATGATTTTCTCGTGGCCCCTTCCTCCTGTCCCTGAATGCAAAACAACAGTAGGGTTTCTTCTCTGCTGGCAGGAGCATTTTCCTCCCTCGTGCCTTCAGCAAGGACTCTCCTCACTGAGGCTTCAAAATATGCCAGAGACACTTCCCTGCACAAAGTCGGCAAAAGACAAATTCAGCCAACAGGAAATCTGCAATATCAAAGCTCTGTTTCGATCCCAGTGGGCTTTTAGGGTAGTTAGGTTTCAGCAAGTTCCATCCTACTCCCAGAAGAAAAAGCACAGAAAACCCACAGCATTTTGTGCTCGCACAACTTTATTTTTGTCCCTATTACAGGAACCTAAAATGCACATGCAATAAATTTAGTAGAAGAAATTCAGGCTTAATCAAGAAATGAACATTATCTAGTTGAATGAAATCACTTCAGATTCTACACAGCTCTTCTTATCTGCAATACACACTTTTAGATATTGAAATTATCTAAAACCCTAAGCTAAAAATGGCAGTTCCAGGGCTGGAATTCCCTCAGCAGTGCTACTCCAGTTCCACAGGCAGTAACACAACATGCCTGGGAAAGGTGCTTTTCAAAGGCCATCTATCTGCAGTGAGCACTGGAGTTTTCAAAGCTACTGAAGCAGGCTGGACACTGGTGTGCAAATGCCAGAAGAGTGGAGGGATCTGCTTAGCAGGAGGATGAGGATAAATCCACTCTCCTCAGTGTTCAGAGGAGAGGAAACAGCAAAAGCACTTAAAACTCTTGAGTGTAAATCAGCTGGCCAGGCAGGAGTGCAGAGTGTTGCATGTCTTCAGGGGAAGGTGCTGCCTTGTGTCCTGGCTGGTCTCTGTCAGCAGCTCTGGCCCTGCTTGTTCAGCCCCCTTGTGCTGCGGGTTCACGTTCTTTCCTGCTCTTCTTGGGTTCATTCCCCATGTCTGGAAGAGCAAAGGGAGGTTTAAAGTACATTTAATGAAATTGGGCCTCTGAACCAGTGTTTGAGAGCTGTGAGCTCCCTTACCTCAGAAAAGAAACAACTTGATGCTCATGAGGGCATTGAAGGCGATGCTCTTTGCCAGCAGGACTCTCAAACCCAGCACAGCCATGGACAGCATGTTCACTCTCTGCCCTCCAGCATCTGCTCCGTGACCAGAAAAGAGGGGAGACATCATGGTCTGGGTTTTGGTGCTGTGATCTTGGCAGAAAGTGGAAAATCCACAGGTGACAGTTTCAGGGAAAGGAAGAACAACAAAGGAACAGCTGAGAGAGAACATGGCAACAAAAGGGGAGCAACCTTGGAAGAGCAACCTTGGAACAGCAACCTTGGAACAGCAGCCTGTGTGTGCTGAATGTGTTGTGTTCTGAGTACTCTGCCCTGGAGAAAATACATTTCCATGCCTTTATCCCCCAGAGAGCAATGTAACTTCACATCCTGTTTGGGTAACTCACCTTGTGCTGAGGTGTTTGTGCTGTTGCAAACCCTCTCACTGGCCCCTGACTCTGTTCTGGTTCTGTTTTTTTCCCCAAATCCTGTTATTGGTTCGTCAGCATCCTCTTCTGTAATACGACAAAGAAAAGGCAATTTAAACTATATACACCATTTATACAGGATATAAAAAATGTTTAGATGGCATTTCTCATAGAAAATCAGAGGAACGTACTGACTGGGCTTCAGCAGGTCAGGAGTAATTCTGACATTAATATGAGGAGACAAGTGCTCCATGCAGTTGCAGGAGACAGTAGAATTCCTGCATTGTTTTGTTTTACTATTTGAATGACCTTCAGGACTAAAAAAGCTATCTCACCAAATATAACAATTCATTTAATTAAAAAACCCCACAACACACCCCTCCTTTAACTTTGTGTTGCTGTTCAAAGGGATGTTCCAGATTGTGATGCAGGAGGTTTCCTGCTATAGGCTTGAATATTCCATCATTAGGAAATTCCCAATTTAAAGAAATAGATTGTGTCTTTGTACTTCTCCCCAGAAAAGTATCTCAAAATATTTAAACAGTTGAAGAACCATTTCTTTTAAATGCTTTGAAACATCTTTCAGCTCTCCCTGCTGAAATCCCAAATGTCTTTCTGATTTCTGCTGGCTGCCCAGGGCAGTGCTGTCCAGAAGGAGAACACCAAGCCCCACAGGCCACTGTCTCCAGAAATAAGTGACAGCTGTGCCACCAAACTGTACCTGGCTCTGCTGTTATCGTGAGGTCGTCAAATTTGGCCATGCAGGTCACCTCTGTGTCTCTTGTCACCTTGACCACTTTAATTGCATTGTACAACCCCTGTGACGTCAAAATGGATGGGCTCTGTTCATAGACCACCTCCTGAGAGGGCATCTCCAATCTGATGTTCTTTGTAGTGGAGTTCCTTGCCAAACAAGCTGCTTTCCCAGAGCTGCCAACTCCTTCCAGTTTCTTTGATTTCATCACAATGACTTGGGGGTCAGAAGTGTTTGAAATGTCTGAAAAGAAGAGCCAGGGTTGGACAGGATTGATTTTACTGCAGGCTTGCCTGGGTGCTGAGTGACCAAAAATTGACATGTACTCCATCTGTGACTAATTTGAACATTCTCATTTACTGCCTTTATGTCATTATTCCTTGTGATTAAGGTACGAGTAACAAAAGAAGATTGCTGAAACTCGCCACCAGCTGTCTCACAAAAAATCTATTGGTGTCAAAAGAATTTCATTGCCCACAAATCAATGAGGTGCCATGACTTGTTTATAAGAGAAAGTATCCTTTTCTCTAGGCCAGGTCACAGGTGGAGAATCAAGAGTGATCTCAAAAACCTATGACAGGATTTAACTCAGATTAGCAATTTGAATTAGAGTAAAACCATGGAACTGAAAGGAATCCTCCAGCAGCCTTCCTTGCCAGAAAGGGCTCAGCTATGAAAACCTGTCTGACACATCCACAAAGATTGACGTGTCTGCTTTGACAGGAGCATCCTGAGGGGTCTCTTGGCTAAAAAGAGGTGCATGAGGCTTTTCATTTTGCGTGGCCTCTACCTTGCAGGTGGGTCAAGAGATCCCTCAGCCCTAACATTTTGTTCATCCCAGGGTACTGATAGAAATTTGATCAAGGAGCTCTGATTTTACACCCTTTCCCCATCAGCCCTGTGCCACTGCTGAGGAACTGAGGTGAAAGCCAAATTGTGCTCTGCCACAACTTCATGGGTCAGCTCTCCTGATCAAACAGGCAGAACTATACACTGTGCACACCTCCAGCCACCAGACACCCACCAGAAATCCAACACTTCCTTCCCAGGTGTTGTACAAAGCATTGGGGAGAGCCTTTCAGTGCTGTGAGTTCTGTGTTCTCTGAGAACACCTTCTCTGAGAAGGGCTTTTCGGGCTTTGCAAACAGCCAGAACACAACCAGGCTGCTTCTCTGCAATAGCTCCCTGGGCAGGATCTTCAGCAAGCAATAATGCACACAGTGCAACTGTAGTTCAGAGAGCAGAAGATTTGTTTTATCTGACCCCAGAAGACTCACCTGAGTCCCACTAGTTTGCATTCCCTGATACTACAGCCATGAATTCCTACCACTGCTTGCTTCTGGAAGGGATTAATCTTTTATGTTTATGTTCAAATTTATTTGAACAAAAGGGGGAGGTTGCTGAAATCCTGGAAACTTTCACTTCAACACAATAGGTATTTCAGTAGACTCAAAAGGGACTTTGATACTTTAGGTTCAATCTATTTTACTACCAAACATAATTCCAGACTTTCTGTGCAGCTCTGAAAGTATCCTGTCATTAGCTAGAAAAAGAAAAACATTGAACAGCAAGGAAAGAAGAGGTCTTTCTGCAGAATGGTAAATTTGCATTGCTTTGTCCCTTTGGAATTGGAAGTGCAGTGAGATTGTTCCCAAATACACATTTATTCCAGTGCATCATATCCTACAGACATGGAGAGATATTAGGCAGCACCCAAAGCAGTCCCACGTCTTTCTGGAAGGAGAGCAGGAGGTTTTAGGGATGTAAAATAATATGGGACATTCTTGCCGCGCTTTAAAGACATGCAGACCTCTGAAAGCAAAACAGCAATTCCTGAGGGATGCACCTGATACTTCAGGACCACAGAGATCAATATCAAAAACCCCTCTGCCACCCCAACATTCACATTTCCCTCGAAAAGCTTGGGGTGACCTGCACCTTTATTGTTCACTGCAGAACTCCAAACAAATATAGAAATAAGTAATGCTGCTTATAATCCCTACTCCCCACATTGGCCTTTTCAGAACCCACACAACCTGGCAGCCAATTGTCTTTCATTCCAGGAGCTCTTGGATATGAGGCACTTGTGAGAAGTTAAGCCCACGGCTATTTCACCTCCTTCCTGCTCTGTCCCCAGGGCAGCGGAATGCCTTACCTGGGGACACTGTCAGTGCGGTGGTGCCAGTGTCAAACCAGAACTTCTCCAACCAGGAGTTACAGATCTGTCTCAAAACTCCTCATGCTGGGAGCTCCTCACTGAGCTCTGCATTCCTGCTCCAAGTCAGTCAGTGCAAGCCCGCTGGAGAATTGGACACTGGGCAGCGAATTTGGGGCCAGAATGCTGCCCAAAGTGGGAATAAGTTATCACAGGCTAAGCAGTGCCCTGCTGGTGTTTGGGGATCATGGAATAATGGTGCTGTGCAGAGTCAGCCCAGATGTTCCTGGGAAACCTTCCCGAGCAGATCCAAGCTGAGGGTTTGGCTTGAAAGCCTGGCTGGAGAGCGAGTGCATTCAAAGGATTGCAGCTGAAAATCCTTCCAGTGAACCCAAACCTTTAAATTCCCTTGTTCTCCCCCACATTAAATTTTAAACGGAGTTTTAGGAATAAAGAAATGTCACTTACTTGGTTCAACTGTGAGAGTCGTCCCTGGTCCAAATATAAGCTTTTCAATCCACACACTGCTAAGGCTTATTCCAATAACTCATTCTTTTCTCATGATGTTCAAAAGTAAACAGGTGATGAAAAGCCATTAGTTCTACTGGGTGAAAGTCCATGAGAGGTTCCAGAGGTACATTTACTTGCAAAACTGGAAAGGGAAAAAATGTTAATGGAATTGTTCGGTGATTTCAGAAAGCTTGATTGAGTATAGAACTTCCAATTTCTCCCTTTCTTCCACCTTTTATAACCTTCATCAGCTCTTTTATGTATCCAGGATACAAGGAAATGTAGGAAGAATGTTGTTCTTCTCTTCTTAATCCTTAGAGTCACCCGTCTCCTTTATTTCCCAACATTTGTCACCTTCTTTCCCTCTTTTTGTTTTTGTACAGGTCCCTATGCTGTTTATATCATTGTGGTAACCATAGCCCAAAGCACAGTGATATATTTCATAACAAAAACTATCTCTGTTCCACTACACAGAATATTGGATTATACAACCAGTCACATGACATCTTCAGGGGTTTGAGACCAAATGCACCACATAAAGAAACACCATATGGCTTTCAAGGAGGGATCTCAAATAATATCAGAGAGGTTGAGTTGTAAATGAGAACGTGGGTATTATGTGACACCTATGAAGGGTGTGGTGGAGTTTAGGTGGATAGAAAGCAGAAAAACAATCAGTACCTCTGGTGTTCTTTCAGAGCATTTCTTACAATGCAGTCTAATCCCCCTAGTTCTCTCCTTGTAGGTACTAGTGGTAGTATGAACAGAGTTCTAGGATGTAGCACGCCTACTCTGGGGGTGATGGGAGGAACGGATTAAAAACAGAATACGCAGGAGGGTCATAAATTGCTGAAGTGACCTTCCAGCTGGGAATTACCCTTGACAGCCCAGGGTGAACTGCATCCAGGGATCCTCTAACATGAACCAAGTTTACATGCCAGTGTCTCTCCTTGCCTCTGCCTGGCTGATGCTCAGGGATTCCCTCAGTGTTAAGGACACTGAAATAAATGTACTCTGAGCGTGTCTGCGGCTGTTCCATGCTGACTGTGCTGCCTAACATAAGTAATTGTGGCTGTCCTACTTTGAAAGACAGATGTCTGCCAAGGAAGGCGGGAACCTCTCTTGGAATGGAGAATAGGACCCCCTTCTCTCCATATTAATATAACTTTGAAATAAATGGGCTTTCAAGAAAAGATGTGGGAAGAGGAATAAAAGTTTTTTACTAATATGTGTATGTATAACACTCCAAGCAAACAACAGCAGCAGCAACAAACAGAACCGGACACTCAGGCCCGGCCTCTCTCGGCCGCAGATGCTTTCCCCTTTGGTGCCGTTCCGGGCACAGCCAGCAGGGGCGCTGCTGGCTCCTGGCCGGGCAGGGCGGGTACGATCATTCCCCCGCGCCAGCAGGGGGGGCTGTGGCGGAAGCTCGGCCGACCCTGCATGTGTCTAATGGTGGGTGGGCAGGCGGGAGAGATGGAGATGGGGCTCCCTTTACAATTCCACAGGAGCAGCCGCTCCCAGTGTGTTTCTCCCTTGCACAGACCAAAGGACAGTACTGGAGGACTGCAAGGGACTTGTGTGACAAATTTCCCTGCCAGCAATTTCTCATCTATACTAAATGCACACAGATCTCCCAGGCTCTCCATGTATGTCAGCTGTTCCCTCCCTTGTGTTCATGGCCCTTCATTGCATTTGTTCCCCTCTGTCCATGTTCTTCCCTGGATAGGGAGCCCAGCAGGGGACACACTGGTCCTCAGTCCCAGCAGTGCTGAGCTGAAGAGGATTCCTCCCCAGTGAGCAAGGAGACAGGACAACAGGCCAGGAGGCTGCACGGACAAACAACGCTGGGAAAACATGGGCCCAGTGCTGAATGGGATGGGGACCAGGTGACAGAGGATATGGGACAGGGCTGAGGCCCTGAATGCTTTATTCGCCTCAGGCTTCAACAGCCAGATCAGCCTTCAGGAATTTCATTTCCCACATCCCTGGATGAGAGGCCAGGAGGAGGAATATGCACCCTTGAAAAATCCATGTCACTGAGCCTTTCTCTAGGCCATAATGAAAGGATTTGTGCAGAATATTTCCAGGGAAGTCAGTGCTGGGAGCTCAACTGAATGAAGAATGCAAAACATCCACTCACTCCTCACCCAGCAAAACCCTTTGTCTCACTGTCGACAGCTATCAGTGTGGCTAAGCCAAATCCCCAGGTCTCAAACCATGCTGACTGTCCCGGAGGAAAAAGGGCTGGAAACCAAGTAAAGGCACAGAGGAGAAATGAGGCTGTGTTGGACAGGAGCCCTGGCAACATGCACTAAACCTGCATTTCCCCAAACTTCAGCCTCTGCAGTTCCCAGCACAGATCCTCCTGCACGATCAATGGCACCAGCCCTTCCAGCAGCCCTCCCTCCACTGCCTTTTAGTGCCACCCAGCCCAAGCGACATTTCCTGCACCTGCCATTGCCTGACAACAGCCCTGGGCAGCAGCTGCCAGAAAGAAATGCTGAGAGATCTGTCTTCCATATCTGTTGGTTTTTGGTTCACTCTGCTGCAGAGCTGCTCCAGGGTGATTCTTGCTCCACAGTAATACGTTGCTGCATCGCCTGGGGTTGCTACCAGGATCTGCAGTGTGAAGCTGTTCTTGGAGCTCTGCACAGATCCCACAAAGCGATCTTGGAAACCATCTCCATAGGTGCCATCATCCCTGTTAATCCATTCCAGAGAGCCCCGTGGGCCCTGACGGTACCAGTACATGAAGTAGTTGCTCATAGAGCCTCCCTTCATGCTGCACTGAAAGGTGAATTCATCTCCCTCTCGTACGGTCACTTCCCTGGGGCGCTGATCCAAGGCCACCTGGCCAGTGACTGCTGCAGAGAGCAAGAACGAGCCACAGTCACTCCAAGATTCATTAAAGGTCAGGGCAATGCCTGTGGTGCTTTGGAGTGGCACTGGTCCTGTGGGAGGACAAAATCCTCCTCTTGGAAGCCAGCTGACACAGATGGGCAGAGCTGCAAGGCTCACAAGGAAGGAGACACCACATTTCCCTCCTTCCTTTTCCCAGTCTGTCAGGAAGCTTTTTCAGCATTTCCCCAAAGAAGCAGGAAGGATTCACACAATGGGGCAATAAATCCCTTTGTCCTTGCCAAGACAGGACGGTGAGGCACCCACTGTCCTGTCCCTGAAGCTGCTGTGGGTGAGCAGAGCAAAGCCAAAGGGCTGTCACAGGCAGTGGGGCTGTGCCCTGTGCTGCCATGGCCCAGCTGCTCTGTGCCAGAGGGGCCGCAGTGCCCCAGGAGCAGTGTCCAGTGCCAGGGCCAAGCGCTGGGCCCCGAGATCTGAGTGCAGCAGGGAGGTGCCCTGCGTGTGCCCAGGCTGCAGAGCAGGCAGCTGGCACGGAGGTGCCCAGCTCAGAGGCACCAGAGGAGCAGGGCTGCTCTCCCCGTGCTCCACAGGCATGGCTGGGCAGCTGGAGCCGGGGCACAGCTGCGGCTGCAAGCGCTCAGCACGGCTGCCCAGAGCCCTGCAGAGCCCAGGCCCACGCTCAGCTCCTGGGGCCAGCAGCCCTTGCCTGCACTTACCTACAATGGGCAAGAAGCCCACGCACAGGGCACTCCACATGGCCAGGCCCGCTCTCAGTGGCCTCTCTGCAGCTTCTCTGCGCCTGCACAACAGCTCTGCCCACACCTGCCCTGCCTGGGCCTCTGGCACTGCTCTCAGGCCCAGGCCCCGCTGGTCCCTCCCTCTGCCTGTGACAACACTCAGGGGGAGAGGTGGGGCACCAGGAGCACAGCTTGAAGCTCTTGCTGCCCTCCTGGCTGTCTCTCACCCTGCGTGGTGCAGGAACAAGCCATTTGTTGGGCAGGAAATGCTGTGTTGGGCTAAAGGTGACGTGATTCTGAGGGGCCAGCACTGGCCTTTCTCTCTGGCAGTCTCACAGGCTGTTGCTGGCACTTTGGAGGTGACCAGGGGGGCTGTCAGCTTGTCCTTCCCCTGGCCCTGGCTCTGCTGGGCTGCTGCTTTCACATGGGACACTCCCGGATATCAGCTTGGCTTGGCCAGGGCTCCCCTTATCCAAAGTGCTCCTCACCCTCCTCCCTGCACTCTGGCCCTGCACCCTCCTGGCTCCCCAGTGATGACACTTCTCCAGCTGCCTCTTCCTCTCTAAGCCCTCCTGGACCCCTGCCCAGCAGCAAAGGCAGCCCAGGACTCTGCAGGTGCTTTGCATGTTCCCCTTAAGAAGGGGACCAGGGAAGGCTGAGTGAGACTGGAGCCAGGCAGTCACCAGGCTGACTGCATGACAGAAAAACTTTCAACCTCCTCTGCAGCGTAGAACATTGCAATTGGGACTCAGGAGAAGGAAAGTTTCAGTGCTGGGAAAGGAGCTCTTGATGAAAGGTCAGGATCACTGGTGCTGCGTGGCACCTGATTTCTTAGGAACAGCCCAGAAGCACTTTAAAGCTGGCTCAGAGGCCGGTTTTGTTCCTCCTGCTGTCTTGCCAGTGAGTGCCCTGGGTTGGGCACTAAGCAGGGATGGGACACAGCAGCATCACTTTCGCCAACTGAACAAAGGAGCATTCCATTCTGTGATACTTGGTTCTCAGAAGTAAAGCTCACAGAAAGGAGGAAATGGGACATTTGGAGTGATAGCCTTTGTCTTCAATCATTCTGTGAGAGAAAGACCGTTTTTCCTAGAAATGGCTAAAAACCTCACTATTGCTGGAGAAGTAGGGCAGAATGTCCTTATTTCTCCTGTACTGCAGACTCGGTTTTCTTTGTTTTTCAACTGTTGATGTGGAGCATCTCTCCAAGTTTAAAAGAGAGACAGAGCTGGACATGTTTAGCGTAGAGAAGCAGAGGCTGGTTGGGGTTACAGCTTTGAGAATGAGCCTGGCAGCAAACAGGGATAAAGTGGGAGCAAGGCATTTTCTAATTGCTCACAATTTTACTCTAATTCGAATTGGCAATAAATCAGAAGCCCTGCAGTGTGCAGTACAGGCCAGGAATACCTGTGGTGCACAGCGATGGCACCTGACTTCTTGGAAACAGCCTTGA